AACAAAAAAAAAAAAAAAAAGAAAGAAAGGGAATGTGTTAGTCTTCTGAAAATCTCTAAATATTTGATGGGCATTTTGCATTTTCCTCCATAATAGGTCCGTGTTGTTCAACTTATACAAATGAGGTCAAGTAACACTCATGTTCCGGGAACGTATACACTGTGACTTCCGGTATCTGTGGGAACCGATGAAGAAACATGAGCCTAAAGCCAAGGGGGTTACTTACCAGTCCTGATTTCCTGCCCTCCAAAACAGGGGTTGGTAGGGCAGACGGGGCACTTACAGAAGTCTTTCCAAACTGTAAACTCAGCTGGCAGTTATGTAAAATGACAAGAAAGAGATGACATTCTCCATCTGGCAGCAGAGAAAAAGCGAGGCTTAGAAAAGGCTCAGGAAAGTCACACAGTAAATATCACAGCCTGCTAAATTATTTTGTCTTTTTGGTACTGGGAACTAAACCCAGGACCTTGCTGTGAGCTGCGTGCTTAGCCCTTTTTATTTTGTTATTATTATTTTATCTTGAGATAGAGTCTCACTAAATTGTCCAGGCTGATATTGTGATAGTGCTTGCCTGTAGTCCCCACACTGAGGAGGCTGAGGCAGGAGGATCACTGCAAGTTTAAGGCAGAAAGATCACTGCAACCTGGGCTACACAGTGAGTTCAGAGCCAGCCTGAACTACATAGAGATCCTATCTCAACAAAACAAATAAACAAACACCGCCCCCCCACCCAAAAAAAAAGTACCAAATAAGTTGTCCGGACTGGTCTCAGATTTGTGGTCCTCCTGCCTCAGCCTCCCAAGTGGTTGGGATTACAGGTGTGCACCACCACATGGGGCTCATGATGAGTACGGGAGCACAGGCCTCTCTGACTGCAGGTCGCTTATCTTCTGTGTCTTGTGAACCAAAAACCTCCACTGAGCCCACCTCACAGCATAGATTAGCAACTCTTGCTTTGTTCTACACCAAACAGGTTGTGTGACTTCAGGCAGGCCTCTCTGGACCTCACTCTGGTCATCTGAAATCAGGGATGAGGGCTGGGGAAGAGCTCAGTAGTTGAGGCCCTGGATTTGATCCCCGTTACCAAAACGGACAGGCACCTAACTAAATAAAACCAGAGTTTAACCCTGGCCATGGTGGTGCCTACCTGTAGTTTCAACTACTTGGGATATTGCAGTAAAAGGATCAGCTGAGATCAGAAACTTGAGGGAGGCCAGGGCAACACAGTTACATCTCCATCTTCTATCAATCAGGAATCATTGAATCTATCAGATTTGGCTTGATGGTTTTTTTCTGTTTTGTTCTTGGCTTGATGGTTTCTAAGACCTCAGTGGATGGGCGATCTATGCATTAACCCTTCACATGCTAGTAGAAGTTCATTAACAATTCTAGGTTGTTGGATACTTTCACATAAATAAAGCACAGCTTCCTTTGTGTGTGTGTGGAGAGAGAGGGAGAACGAGAGAGAAAGAGAGAGGTCTTGCTACCTAGGCTAAACTGGCCTTGAACTTGCAATCCTCCTGCCTCAGCCTACTGATTGCTGGGATTACAGGCATATGCCCAGCCTTTTTTTTTTTTTTTTTTTTTTAAGACAGGGTTTCACTATGCAGTTCAGGCTAGCCTCAAACTTGAAGTGATCCTGCTGCCTCAGCCTCCCAAGTGCTTTGAGCTCCACAACTTCTGTTCTTCATGAACTCCCAGTCCATCGAGAGGGTGGATGAAGCAGTGGGAGTGACAATAAATCAGTCTTCATGGATCAGTGCCTGAGCTGATGGCTGATCTATACAGAAGGCTGCAGGAGCCTGGGGAGACAGGAGAGCAAAGAGCACTAGAAAGGTGTCGCCAAATAGGTGACCTATGAGCTGAGACGTGAAGGTGAAGTTAGAGCTCCACAGCTGGCCAAAAGTGCCACAGATACAAAAACACAAATGTGTGAAGTAAGAAAATCGTGTGGGGTGTTGGGGAAAGGCAGTTTCTCAGAACACAGCCTCTCTCTCTCGCTGAGGAGGTACAGGGTCCTGAGTGCACGGCACATTACACTTTACCTGAGGACTGGAGCTTTCCAAGCCACTCTGAGGAGCAGCCCCAGGGAAGGAGGGGCCTGAGGGACTCCGAGGGGCTTCAGAGGGAGGCACCCACTCTGCCTTGGACAGAAGGCTCCACTTTTACCTGCTATAAAAAGTGCTGCTTGATTTCCCCTGACAAAAAATTTCCACTGCTAAAACAGGCAAACAAAAAAAGTCATGGCCAACAGGGAAGTAGAGGGTTTTCTGCTGGTAAGAAGCAAAACCGCGCAAGTAGAGTGTTTTCTGCTGGTGAGAAGCAAAACCGCGCGAGAAGAAACCCTCGGAGGGAGACTGTGTGGGTGTGAGTGTGAGGGGAGGTCCGAGGCCTGAGGTGCCTCTTGGGACCTGGAGTCTCTCACTGGGCTCCCTCGGCTGAGCAGGGGCTGGTGACTAGGAAAGGAGCATGCATCCCCTCTGGAAAACAGAGGGTCTGCTCAGAACTTAGGTCTCCTCAGGCCTTGGAGAGGAGGAGTATGTGATCTCCAAGAGGTTGTCCCCCTTGTTGGCAGGCACTGGGGAAGCAGGAAGTGGGTAACTAGACTAACAAAAGTGCCTCTGTGTCGGTTTGCCCATCCCAGGTGGGAAGGGCGGGGCCTAGAATTTAGCCTGGGCCTTGGGCCTGGTGTGAATTCACTTGTGATTTGAGGGCTCAGAGGGAACACTGATCAGGAGTTAGAACCCCCATTTCAGCTCTTACGAGGCTGATGGGTTGGGGGGTTGGGAATTGACAATTTCAAGTAAATTTGGAAATTCTCAGGGCAATCCCCTAGGATGTCTGATGCAGAGGGAACAGATCTAGGGGAAGCTCCTTCAGTCCCCTCTCTGTTCCCTCAGGGACCATGGGCTGTAGCTGCAGCTCAAACCCTGAAGATGACTGGATGGAAAACATCGATGTGTGCGAGAACTGCCATTATCCCATAGTCCCCCTGGACGGCAAGGCCACGGTAAGAGGCGAGACAAAGGGCTTACTGAGGGAGTCGGGTGGTGTGTAACCTACAGCTGAATGGACCACTGCTATAGGTCCTTAAAGTAACAGAACAGCCAGGCGTGGTGGCACACGCCTGTAATCCCAGCACTAGGAAGGCTGAGACAGGAAGATCGCCATGAGTTTGAGGCCAGCCTGGGCTACATCGTGAGTTCAAGACTGAGACCGGGTCTCAAAAAAACCCAAAAAACAAAAAAGCCCAAAACCAAACAGAGCAGCCCTCTCCCCTGGAATGCAGAAAGAAAAGGAGGCCCAGAGAGAGGGAGGGACCCAGCGAAGGTTACACAGCAAGTACAGACAATAGTTGGCAAATTCGCAGCTGGGTAAGGCCCAGCCAGGCTGGAGAAATGGACGAGAGGAAGGCAGAGGAGAGGGGATCCAGGGTCTAATCAGTCTTCTTTCTGTGAAACCACCCTCATCTTCCACCCCACAGCTTCTCTTGCGGAATGGCTCTGAGGTACGGGATCCACTGGTCACCTACGAGGGCTCCAACCCACCAGCCTCTCCGCTGCAAGGTGACTCCAGCCAGCAGGGAGGAAGATAAGGCCTGTGGCTCCTTGGCTTTTGACTTCCATCTCCTTCCCACATACCTTCTTCTCCGTCCAACCTCGGCCCCAGGTCTTGTTTTGTTTGAGACAGGATCTGGCTATGCTATGCAGGCTGGCCTTGGCCTCTGTATGCAAAGTGTGCCAGCACACTGGATTCTGGCCGGAGTCTTGACCATTATCCTGTGACTCCAGAACTCCGTCCTCCCTGCCAATCAGCCTGTTCTCTCCTTTTCCCTCTCTCTTTTTGTGTGTGTGTATGTGTCGGGAATTGAACTCTGGACCTTGCACTTGCCAGGCAGGCACTTGTGCCGCTGAGCTATATTCCCGGCCCTTCAGCCTGTTCTCAGAACGCCTCCCATCTTTGCAGACAACCTGGTTATCGCCCTGCACAGCTACGAGCCCTCGCACGACGGAGACCTGGGCTTTGAGAAGGGCGAGCAGCTCCGCATCCTGGAGCAGTGAGTGCCCCTCCGCGAGCGTGCGCGCCTCGGGGACAGAACGGGAGGACTCAGTGGAGACGGGCGTGGGGTGGGGGTGAGGTGGAGGGGGGCGGCCTGGTGCAACGGGGGGGCTTTGACACCGCCTCGGTGGCGCAGGAACGGCGAGTGGTGGAAGGCCCAGTCCCTGACCACGGGCCAGGAAGGTTTCATCCCCTTCAACTTCGTGGCCAAAGCGAATAGCCTGGAACCTGAACCGTGAGTGGGCACCCGTCGTGGGGGCGGATGGGGAGCAGATCTGGGGATCTCGGAGCACGGAATGGTCCTTGGGATGCTGGTGAATGCTGAAGGGTGACCGAGGAAGAACAGGCCAGCAGCCATCGGCCTTCACGTGTGTCCTTGGCAGCTGGTTCTTCAAGAACCTGAGCCGCAAGGACGCAGAGCGACAGCTCCTGGCGCCGGGAAACACGCACGGCTCGTTCCTGATCCGAGAGAGCGAGAGCACCGCGGGTGAGCTGCCGGGCGCCGGGGCGGGGTCTCGGGGCGGGGCCCCAACTGGGGCGGAGCCTCGGGTGTGGGTGTGGCCTCGGGCTGCGTCGCAAAATGCGCAGGTGCGGGAAGGGTGAGCCTGAGCCCAGGCGGGACTCGCAAGTGGCCGGTCCTGCCTTTCTTCTGTATTCTTTCCTTCGTTTTTGAACCAACCTTTCATTCATTCATTCATTCATTCATTCACTCACTCACTCAGGATCGTTTTCGCTGTCGGTCCGGGATTTCGACCAAAACCAGGGAGAGGTGGTGAAACATTACAAAATCCGTAACCTGGACAATGGCGGCTTCTACATCTCCCCTCGCATCACTTTTCCCGGCCTGCACGAACTGGTCCGCCATTACACCAGTGAGCTCCGGCGGGCTGCCCTCCCCTGTCCCTGCCGACCTGCCTGCCCCCAGTCCTTTTCAGGGCTCCCCTCCAGCCGTCCTTCACCGTGCTCCTCCCTCCCCCGCGGTGGGGGATCCGCTGGGAGGCGGCCCCTGGCCCCCAGGTGGGAACGCGGAGAGGTGGGGGTCGGGGCGCCCCCGAGGCCCTCCAGACCACAGTGCCCCGCGTTTCCCTCGCCCTCGTAGATGCTTCTGATGGTCTCTGCACGAGGTTGAGCCGCCCCTGCCAGACCCAGAAGCCCCAGAAGCCGTGGTGGGAGGACGAGTGGGAGGTTCCCAGGGAGACGCTGAAGCTGGTGGAGCGGCTGGGGGCCGGCCAGTTCGGGGAAGTGTGGATGGGTGAGTGCCAGGAAAGGGGAGAGGGAGGCGTCCACCCAGGTCCCGCGGCAGTGCCCTGTTCCGGGGCAGCTGCCCGGCTCCTGACGACTCCCCCAATCCTTCCCGCGGCCCACCCCAGGGTACTACAACGGACACACGAAGGTGGCTGTGAAGAGCCTGAAGCAGGGCAGCATGTCCCCCGACGCCTTCCTGGCGGAGGCCAACCTCATGAAGCAGCTGCAGCACCAGCGGCTAGTCCGGCTCTACGCGGTGGTCACGCAGGAGCCCATCTACATCATCACCGAGTACATGGAGAACGGTGCGCTCCGCCGCCCTGCTAGCCGAGGGGTGCGGTGGGGGGATGCTGCTGTACCCCGACCTTCCCCGAGGGTGGGGGAAACGTGCCTCTTCCTCTGACCCAGCACCGAGGGGTTCTAGAGGACTTCCCTGGGCCCCACGGGTAAGAAGAAGGAGGTTTCCTCTGAGCCTGTCTGGGGTCCCAGCCTAAGGTGGCAGGGTTCCTCCAATCTCCCCTGACCTGCAGTCCCTTTTGCCTTCGCCCATGCCTTACGTGGATCGTGGATCGTAGGGTGCTGCATCTCAGAAAGCAAGTCTGTTCCTAGCTCCATTTTCCTCCCTTCCCAAGCCCTATTTTTCAGTTCCTCTCATGGTTTGCTGTTGGACAGAGAGAACCCCAGCCACAGGGACACAGATTTCTAGACTTAGCCTTGCTCATGCTGGTTTGCCATGTGTGATACAGGCTAAGTCCCTGTACTGACCCTGGTGTTCAGTTTCTCCAGGTATAACAGCAGAAATTAAAAAGGGAGCCCTCAGAAATAATATACAGAGCCGGTCGTGGTGGCACACGCCTGTAATCCCAGCACTTGGTAGGCTGAGGCAGGAGGGTCGTTGCGAGTTCGAGACCAGCCTGGGCTACAAAGTGAGCTCAAGGCCAGCCTGAACTGCATAGTGAGACCCTGTCTCAAAAAGAAAAGAAAAAAAAAAAAAAAGACCAAAACAGAAATAATACAAGACCCTAGAGTCTGCCTGGGTTAGAGTCGTACTTTCATGATTGTATGGCTTTGAGCTAATCACATTACTTCTTTCAGCTATGGTTTTCCTATCTATAAAATGGTGGTACTAATGCCATAGTAAACCCCTCATAGGTCTTTGTGAGGATGACCAAATTAGAACAGCAAGCGCCATAAATTTATTGTTATCTGGCTCTGATTGTGAGCACAAGATCGGTCCCTCTTTCAGGGTGTGAAATGAGCTGTTAATTGGCTCGTGGGTTCTGACAATGGCGAATAAGTTTTATCCTGTGTGCCAACATTGGTAGTTGCTTGAAGTGGTGGGTTGAGAAGGATTCAGAAGCTCGTTGAGAGCCAGACATGGTGCTGCAAGCCTGTAATCCCAGTGCTCAGGAGGATGAGGCAGGAGGATCAAAGAGGCTTCAAGGTCATTTTGGGCTACATAGTGAGTTCAAGGCCAGCCTGAGCTACCTACATAGTGAGACCCTGTCTCAAAAAAAAAAAAAAAAAAAAAAAAAAAAAAAGGCAGCTCATTGGGAGTACTGGGATTGGTAACATTGGCCATCAACAGAGCAATGGCACTGCTTGCTGTGTCTGAGTGAGGCCTTGACCTTTAGTGACTAATTCAGCACTTATAGTGGAGACATTTACTCTCCTGTAGGTTGTTTCTTCTTCTTTCCTTCTTTCTTTTTTTTTTTTCTCCTTTCTTTTTATTTATTTATTTTGTTGGTACTGGGAATCGAACTCAGGACCTTGCGCTTGCCAGGCAGGCACTTGTGCCGCTGAGCTCTATCTCAGGCCTTCCCCTTTCAGTGTTAGGAGTTGAACCCATGGCCTTCACAATAATCTACATCTCCAGCCCTTTTTTCTTTTTTCTTTTTGAGACAGAATCTCATTGTGTAGTGCAGGCTGGCCTTGAACTTGCTTACCTAGCCCAGGTTGTCCTCAAATTCATGATGATGCTCCTGCCTCAGCCTCCCAACCTTTTTTCATTTTTTATTTTGAGACAGTCTCATTAAATCTTGTAGTTGCCCAAGCTGGGCTCAAACTTCTAATCCTTCTCCTCAGCCTCCCAAATGCTGGGATTACACACATGGGCCACCGTGCCCGGCTCAAATGGGGTTTTACTCTCCTGGGTAGTGTAAATTGTCTGTGGCTCCTATCCATGGACCCCCAGGACCTCTTTTCTCCACTTCACTCATAACATTTGGCACAGAGCACTGGGAACATGGATAGATGAAAGAAAGTTCCTGTTGTCAGGGAAATCTGATTTTGGTTATGGACATTGAGAAAACCAGAGTTTGTGTCATGGGAACGTTCCCAGCATGCCATAGGAGTATAGATGATGACACAGTTTATTTTGCCTGGTTGGATCCAGAGAAGCTTCCTAGAAGAGTAGTCCAGCTGACCCATGAAAGGCAGTAAAATTTTTTTCAGCAGGCAGAGATAAAACAAAGACATTTTGGGGTAAGAAAGTAGTGGTCTATGTGAAGAATCTGAAAATTGTTCCAACCTAGCCCTCAAAAAAAAAAAAAGAAGAAGAACCTGGAAATTACCTATGGAGTGAGAAAGGCAGGATGAGGAAAGAAGAAACTACAAATCTGGACCATGCAGGGATGAGGAATTTGGACTCTTGCTGACAAGGAGCTTATAGATCCTTCCACCCATATCCCATCGCAGCCCCCCAACAGGTCCTCCCGTATCCTGAGCACCCTTAACCTGAACACTCCTCCATTATTGTTCTTTATTCTTCGTTCCCACAATCAGATGTTGCTTTTATTTATTTATTTATTCATTTATTTTGAGACAGGGTCTTGCTGTGCAGTTCAGGCTGGCCTTGAGCTCACTTTGTAGCCCAGGCTGGTCTCAAACTCACAATGATCCTCCTGCCTCAGCTTCCCAAGTGCTGGGATTACAGGCATGTGCTACCCCACCTGGCTCAGATGTTGCTTCTAGACCTCAACTTGGGGATTAGCGCGCGGGGGCCTCCTCCTGGAAGTGTTGGGTCAGCAACTCTTGTTTCTGCCCACAGGGAGCCTGGTGGATTTTCTCAAAACCCCCCCGGGCATCAAGTTGACCATCAACAAACTCTTGGACATGGCAGCCCAAGTAAGGAGACTGCAGAGGGGCTGGGCATGGGTACCGGGCAGTTGGACGAGGATGTCCAGCCCAGGACTAATGAACTGGATCTGGCCTGCAGATTGCAGAGGGCATGGCATTCATCGAAGAGCGCAATTACATCCACCGTGACCTGCGGGCTGCCAACATCCTGGTGTCTGACACCCTGAGCTGCAAGATTGCAGACTTTGGCTTAGCACGCCTCATCGAGGACAATGAGTACACAGCCAGGGAGGGTAGGCCTGGGGCGTGAGGGGGGCCTGGGGTCCTCCGTGTCTGTGCAGGCAGACCCAGATGGCCTCATTCTCCTCTCCTCCCCAGGGGCCAAATTTCCCATTAAGTGGACAGCGCCAGAAGCCATTAACTATGGGACGTTCACTATCAAGTCGGACGTGTGGTCTTTCGGGATCCTGCTGACGGAGATCGTTACCCACGGCCGCATCCCTTACCCAGGTCAGCGCCACGGGCAAGAGCTAGAAGGGTCACCAGGAAGGGCAGCCGTTTCCCGTCTTCCTGCTTACTTCTTCCAGGCTCCCAATCTGACCTGTCTAGTTGATTCTCCTCTGTCCTGTCAGGAGAGTGACTCCAGCGTCCCCAAGCAGACGCCACATCTCCCAGCACTGGCTTCCATCTCTGCCGCAGGATCTCCCTTCATTAGCCCCAGCTCTGATCTTTAGTTCTGGCACAGGCAGCCTTGGCAGACCAGGCCACCAGTGCCGATCCTCTGTTTGGCCCTGATCAGATCATCCTTCTCTATCTGGAAAATATGTGATGGAAATAGTGCCTGTCCATACAAAGCTATTCTGAATCATTACTTTGGGAAGACATTTCACCTCTACGTCTCAGCTTCCTCCTATGAGAGGCAAGAGACTTGTGAAAGAGCCTAACTCAGAGGAGGTGCTCACTGGCTTTCCTTCCCTCTAATACTTTTCACCTAAAGAGGAAGAGAGCCCTGGATTCAATCTCTAGTACAAAAAAAAAAAGGCCGGGGATATAGCTCAGTAGCATAAGTGCCTGGCAAGCGCAAGGTTCTGAGTTCGATTCCTGGTACCAAAAGAACAAAAAAAAAAAAAAAAAAGAGGAAGACAGACATGTAAACAATTATCCCTAGACCTGGCTTCCAGCACTGGCACAGTGCCCTTAACCCTGAATTCAGATTGAACCCAGGGTCTTACACATGCTATGTAAGTGCTCCACCACCGAGCTACACCCCATCCCTAGGGTGCAATGTTTTTCAAAGGAACGTGCTAAGAAGCTTTAGGGAAAGCATGGGCATGACCAAGCAAACCTGTAAACCAGCACTCGAAGCCGAGACAGGAGGATCACTGGGAGGTCAAGGCTAGCCTGGGCTACATAGTAAGTTCAAGTTCAATCTGAACTACATAATGAGATTCTATCTCAAAGAAAGAAAGGAGGGAAGGAAGAAAGAGAGAAAAAGAAAGAAAGAAAATAGAAAGAAAAAAAAAGAAAAGATGGAATTTAGGGGAAAGGAAGTAGCACAGAAAAACAGCAGGGAAATCGGGGCACAATCTATTCTGAAGCTTTCTGTACACTCAGCTCAGTGTGAACAGAATCTTGCTTCCAGGAAGGCAAAGGCGTCTTGGAGACGGAGGACTGTCCTGCCCTGAACCTGCCCCATCACACAGTCCCAGGGGCAGTGCTGGAGGTAAACCACCAGGTGTCCAGCCACGATCCTTACTGCTCCTCCACTGTGCCCAGGGAAACAAGTCCACAGATAATGTCTATTAGAAGAAAAAAGGCCAACACTCCAGGAGGCTGAGGCAGGACGATTGGATGGGTGGACAACCTAGCAAAACACATGAAAAAAGGGCTAGGGATGTAGCTCAGTTCAAAGGCTCTCAGTTCAATCCTCAGTGCTGCAAAAAAAAATTTTTTTTAGAAATTTAAAAAATAAGAAGAGGAAGAAGAAGAAGAAGGGGGAGGAAGAGAAGGAAGGCAGCAAAAACATGGTGTAAATGCCATCAGGGTCAGGGAGGCAGTGGGAAGGGACAGGGACCTTGGACTTGCATCTGCTTTAGCAGATGGTCTCTGTTAAGACATGAGAGTCCACAGATCTATTGTTTTTCAAGAGAAGCCAAAACTTGGAGTTTTAGGAAAATTTGCTTATTTCCAAATATAGGTAATTGACTCAGATTATTTTAAAACACCAGATGTGTCAGCCCAATGTGGGTCTGTGGCTATATTTAGACTGAGTTTAGTCTATGAGTTTGCACTCCTTGACTCTAGCTATAGGTGTTTGTTCCATGGTCTGCATCTTCCAATGTCCTGATTTTAAAATGTGAGTGACCATAGGTTGAGAGGGCTCCAGGGCAAGGCCTCTGCAAAAGGGTCCAGCCCCATGCTCTGAAGGAGCAAAATTCTTTTGTCTTTTTTTTTTTTTTTTTTGAGACAGGGTCTCGCTATGCAGTTTAGGCTGGCCTTGAGCTCACTTTGTAGCCCAGGCTGGTCTCGAAC